TAGTGCTTCATTGGACGCAGATGTTTCTATAGCGTTGGATGCTATCCAAGATGTAATGAAAACACTTCAGATTACGGACACTAAGTATGATTTCAAAGACCTGTTCTTCAATACAACGTGTGATTCCGTATTTGTCCAGGGCATGTAACAAACGGCACCTCGTGTGGAACGCTGCCCAAAGTTGGCCGACTTCTTTTAACATTTGGCGCTACTTGTAGACAGTTGTAAGAGAGCTTCTTGTATTTCGTAAAGCCTTTCAATTTCTTGATTTCCTTCAGAAACTGCTGGAGTAAAAACCTCGTTTTGAAAAGTTCAAAAATCTTGAGCCTTAGATTTGCTTAAATGCATATGTTCTGCGCAAATTCTTTTTTCTCCGAAGCGTTGCTTGAATTTTCTTTCGTCTGCGCAGGAAGTGTTGTGAAAAAGTTGAAATTTTCGCACTGAAGCAGCCTATTCTGCCAGTTTCACGTTCAGCTTAGCAGCACACTTCAGTTAAAGATTAATCTCCCTCGGCTACAATAATTAAGTGCCTTGACCCGATTTGATAACAACATAGAAACAAACTCGTGTTTGACAGCGAAGTAACTAGCTATTCCATCGCCACTTCGCTCCTGATGGCTTCAAAAATCAAAAGGTCGAGATTTGTCCAGTGTGTTAGCTGACCAGCGCGTAGTTCAATGTGGTGCACTTTGTGCTCCACAGAACCTCTCATCTATGAATTGTGCAACAGGCCCTTGCAGTCCCTTTGAGGAGCTGCTGATACGGGACAAAAAAGTATATGCATGTTTACCAATCTTTTTTTTTTCTGCAAAATACAGCACTAAATCTCATTTCCCTCTTAACTTTTCACTCCCTTACGCCACTGCCTTCGTCTTTGTCAACAAAGAGAGAGATGTAATCTGTGACTTCTGCTTATAAAAGTTTTTGATTCATTGCTTGCTCCTCAAAATAACTCCGTTATATCCCAGCAGTAAAGAAAACGAATTCGCATACAAAACTTTTTTTCCCCATGAAGACTGATTTTGATTTAATTTTAAAAAATGTGTTTTAGAAATAAATGAGCTTAATACTTCACAAAGATAACAAGTAGCAGATACAACTAAAGAGTGATGCCTTACACTCATTTTGAAGTTTACATCATACACACTTTAAAAGATGGAAGAAGAATATAGAGTTGCTTACCTATATAGTCAAGACTGGGCTTTCTTCTGACCAACTTATGGAGAAGACACTTCTCTGAGCACAAACACACTGAGATCACTATCGCAAAAGTAAAGATCATAAGAATAGTTGCCCCATATACGATCGCAAAATAACTGCAAAACAATCATTCAGTTAAGCCATAAAACCTTATCCAAATTGTTTCAAAACAACTTTAGTAAACTTACTATTTTTCAACTACTGTTTCTTCACGACAGCAACCGTATTTATATGGTTTACAACACTGAGTTTCGGTTTCATTATGTGAAGAAGTTGGGCAATTATAGCTTTTCTCGTTGGTTATACCAGTAAATCTTGACGGCGGGTCACAACGATTGTATTCTGAAAGCAGTTGATAGAATCTTACCATCAAGAACCGTACTGCTTTTTTCATACCAGTATGACAGTGCGGTACAACTGCCCAAAAATAACAGCAAAAAAGGAAAGTAAACATATATACAACAAGTCACATTCATGTTTTATAAAAAATGCAATCATTGAACAGCCAGAAACCATCCTTCAAATATTTGCTATACAAAATCATTATTCAGTAACACCAAAAAAAAGTTGTTTTTTTTTTTATTTTAATAATACCAGTGGTAAAATTTTAATTTAAAATTTAATAACCTTTCAAAGCTTAATAACAATTTATTCCAAATAGAAAAAATAAAACTTTTGACCAATTTCTTTTCTAATTTTTAAAAAATAAATGGTTACTGCACAGAAAGGAAAAACAGCTTACCAGATGCAGCTACAACAAAAACTGTATAGAACACCAAAAAGAAGAGCATCAGAAAACCAGTGGCTTTAAAACTGACAAACATTTCGTAGTTCTGAAGTCGACCAACCAACTGACTACGCTACACAAATGGAGCTTCTAAATTGCCTTCTTTTTTTTTTTACACTTCTGCCATTACCACTTTCCCTGAGGCCCAAAGTTGAGGTTTCAAATGGAACTGTGTTGTTGCAACTTACAATGGCGTTACTGCAAAACAATTATAATAATGTTAAGAATAGTGACATCAAAATTGTTGAACAGAATCAATTGACATTCACTTAAACGCGTAAAATAACATCGACTAAACAATCAAATTTTTGGAAAAAAGTCTGCAAGTTTCTTTTTTTTTGACTCATTTTATATCAATTAGATTTTCTGAACATTTCTTAGTATAAATACCCTGAAAACACTGCAAGTCATAACGATCATAAAATTATTTCTATTTTTCAGTTTAAGACAGTTTTAAACATAAATTTTATCTCTGAATCAGTAAACTAAAATAAGAAGAAAAAGAAATGCAAAATCTGCTTTCAATTTCATTTTATAACAATCAAAAACAATCACCAAAACAAAAAAAAATTTCTTTTTTCTGCTTTTATTTAAAAAAATAAAAAATTTTTTCAACGATGACTAATAAGCACTAACTGAAGGCTACACATAACTGTAACCGTATTGTAGCTTAAGTTAAACTGATCAAGTTCAAATTTGCTTATCATTCAAAAATACATTGCCGTAAACTTTTCTCACACACATAACCAAATAGCTGTTTATGTAGGCTCATATAATCACACAGTTTATGAACAAAGAATGGTCAAACTTATAAAATAAACAAAATCAAACATCCTTTATAATCGCCGTTCAAAATATACTTCCTTAGCAAATACCCATAAAATCTGCTAAGGCAAATAATAATGAAGATAAGCGAGTGTCACCAAGGAAATTTGTCTGACACCATCTGAACAACAGTATTTTGAATAACGCCCTTGAGAATAACCAGCAAATACAATAAACTTAGGTATCAGTTTAACAGCAGATCAACCCAACCATTGATAACTGTATATCGAGCGGTTAAACACAAGACTCCTTATTAGCATTAAAAGAAACCTGATGTTTTTCGGGTGAAACAATTTGAATTATTGAGCAAAATATCAGACCGACTGACTATCAACAAACCTTTCGCTATCAAATTAAACGAGCCATATTATGAAATTGGAAAACCTTATTCAGCCATGCTTCGAAAGTAATTATTTATTAATCTAAAACATTACTGAGTCATCATTGCTATAGCTGGTCTACTTTAAAGAATAATTTTTTGTTAAGCAAATGTAGATGAAAATGATGAGCGAACTATATGCCATAACTTAGGATTGATTATAGTTCAAGTATAATTTTTAATAGTCAAAAAAAAAAAAAAAAAGAACTTGTCAACATCAATGTTTCAAATGTATTCTTAGCAAATAAAAAAAATTTTTTTTTACAAAAAGCATTTCTTTTCAACTACTTACTTAACTGCATAGGTGTAAAAAAAAATACTCAGTACCAAGAAAGACAACAGGAAACAAGAACAATAGTATCACAATAGTATCATAACAAAAAAAAAGCAAAAAAAAAAGAGAAAAACTTTTATAGTATTGGTCAAGGCTAGATTAACTCCTCAAATTCGTCACTGTAAGATGCTGCACTGCGTTTGCCCTTTAGTTGATAAGAAAATAAAAAGTGTGAAAAAAAAAGAATTGAACAATAATCAAAAATCGTTCCAAAAGAAAAGTTTGTTTAGCAATTTAAAGATAAATAAAAACATTAAAAAAATAACAAAAAATAAAAAAAAGTAAAAAAAAATTAGAACAAATGTATGCCAAGACAACTGAGTTCTTTTTTTTTTTTTTTTCTATTTAGAATTTCTATTTCAACTACCATTGTGATGCTTGCCGAGCATTTTTTGCTCATTCCACCAATACACAGAAAAAGCTATACAAATAGGCGAACGACTCACACGAACGATGAACAAGAAAAAAGCAAGAAGCACTCTGGGCTCAGACGAGACCCCTATCGATGTTGGGTTTTAAGCCCTGCAAACAACAGCAACACCACCACCACCAACAACAGTCAACCAGCAAAACTGCTATAAGTGCCAAGCATGTTGCCCATGACTTGTTTTTCAGTTGTTCCATCTATCATTGTTCAAGTTGGTATCTTCTTCTGTTATCATATATTTATACCACTAAACTAATTCTATCTACAAAGAATACTGCAGCCTACATAAAACTATCATATCTAAACTGTTCTAAAAGCTGAAGATAGAAAACTTAATAGTCGTCAAAGAAATCTTTTGTCACTTTTTTGTTCTTTAAAACAATAGCTATTATCACGTATCCGTCAACTGCCCTTCAGCTAGCCTGTCTGGCTCAAAAGACTATAGTAATATATAAGAACAAAAGTGAATAATATAAAGTCTTTCTCTATGCTTTTTGAAAGGCAAAAAACAAAACGTACATTACACAAAAGTTAAAGTTAATACACTTCTCAAAGAACTTCATCAGCATTACTTAGAACTGTTTTGATTAAAAAAAAATTAGCGATGATGGTTCAGAACCATCTGAGCACCTTAAACGTTTAGGCAAAAGAGAGTTTTCCCAACTGAAACAAAAATAATTCCATGAAAGAACGAGAAATACATACATCAAATTATAAAGGTAAAACAAACAAAAAAAAACCTTATTTCAAGTATCCTTTTTCTTTGCAAAATATTCAAATTTAGCTTCAAAGGATAATTATTTATACTGTAGAAAACACCAGTGCTCGTCTTATTCAATTTATCAACTCATCCACACCAACCAAATTCAAAACACTGACTGAAGACCTTGATGAAAGTGCAAAGAAAAAATATATATATAAATAAAATTGTTTTTCTTGATATATCCAAACCCATCAACAACCAACATCGAAACAAACTGATATTCATTATAACTTGACATGGATTATTGCTTGAAAATATGGAAATTTATGTAAACCTCAGAACGTAATGACAGCATTAATTGAATGTTTAATGATCACTGGAAAACGCAACAACGTCAATAAAATTGATCAGGTAAAACTTTTCAAACAAAAAAGGAAAGAAAAAAAATTGAGAATATTTTTGCCATTTCAAATATTTCTGTTGATCAGCTTTTTTCCAGGAACTTTTTATGAAGGAAAAAATGACTTTGCTGTAATGATAAAAATCAACGAAGATACAGTTGCATGCATTATTTATGTGAATAAAT